GGTCACTGCTTTTGCTGTATCCCAAAGATTTTGGTATGTTGTGTTTTCATTTTCTTTTGATTCAAGTAATTTTTTATTTCTTCTATTAGTAGTTTTTAAGAGGGTGTTTTTCAATTTCCGTGTGTTTGCTCTTTTTCTGATCTTCCTATTGTTGATTTCTAATTTTATATCATTGTGATCTGAGGAGATGCTCTGTAGTATTTCGGTGTTTTTAAATTTATTGAGACTTGCTTTGTGGCCTAACATGGTCTATGCTGGAGAATGTTCCATGTGTGCTGGAAAAGAATGTATATTGTGCTGTTGTTGGGTGAAGTGCTCTGCATATGTCTACAAGGTCAAGTTGGTTGACTGTATTGTTTAGTTCTTCTGTGTCTTTGTTGAGTTTTTTTCTAGTTGTTCTATCTTTCTTTGAAAGTGGTATATTAAAATCTCGTACTGTTGCTGTGGAGTCATCTATTTGCCTTTTAATTCTGTTAAGGTCTGATTTATGTATCTTGGGACTCTGGGTTTTGGAGTTTTAATAGCATCACTGTATCTATTATGTTAAGAGTAGACAAAGACCAGGGTGGAAGCAGGGAATCTAGGTAGAAGGCTTGTTACTATAATACAGACAAGGGAAGATGATGGCTTGGATAGTGGGGGGTGAGGTGGTGAAAAGCGATTGGATTCTGGGTATATTTTGAAGATAGGGCCATTGGAATTTGCTGGTAGATTCATTGATACCTTCAATAAATGTGTACTGGATACTGGCGATGCAGGCATGAATGGATGGGGAGTTGTGGTCCCTTCCTCTGAGGTACTGATAATCTAACAAGGAATGGTAGACACACAAAATTGATAGGTTTCTATCTGAGTACAGAGGGCACTGCAGAAACAGCATTGGGACCAAGATGGGTTCAAAGATCCTTCCTGATGAAAGTGTCCCCTGCCTTCCCCATCCTTCCAGTTATCTCACCACCAGCCCCCAACACTCCTCAACTCATCCTTCTCAACAGCCATATCCACCAGGGCTGCCATCACCTCACTGGGGATGGAACTTTCTCTGTTTCCTCATTCCCTTCCTTACCCTTGTCTTATCTCCCAACTAGACTACTTGGGTCTAGAACCCACTCATTTTACAGAAAAGAAAACCTAATCACAAAGAGTTCTCACTGAGCCAAAGTCTAGGTCTGCGTCCTAAGTGTAAAAATGTGGTTGGAAAAAATCTAGAGGAAAAAAACTTAAGAGGAACTAGTTGTATGAGAAGATTGGGCAGAGGTCCATGGAGGGAAGTAACTTGCAGAGATCACAGCTAGTTAGTGGAGCTGCTGGGCTAGAGCAGCTCCCAGCTCTGTGATCCTCTTTCACTAGCCCACTGATGATGACTCAGACTTTCTTGCCAATAAAAACATGTATTTCATAGCTGCAGCATGAGTACCTTCAGTTAGACATGAGGTAGAACTGTTGAACAGTCATTGCAGTGAGCCTATGGCATACCTTTCCCTGGAAAGCTTTGAGGAGAGACATCTTACTGAGCTTGGAGTTTTAGGTGCATTCCTGCCCGCAGGCAGTATCCCCAGACTCTAATCTTTCCCTCCCTCCTTTGACACAGGCAGGCCAGTGCTCCCAGGCCAGTGAGTCTTTCTGGCAGGCAGAGCTCCTGAGGTGGCCTCATAATTCAGGCTTGGCAGTGGGGAAAGGTCAGCTGGGGGACTAGCGTGGCCTTGGACCTGCACTCTGGTTATAACCCAGGTGGCGGTCAGCCTGCTTGTTTCACCTGCCCCCTGCATCAGCAGCTTCTTCACTTACACAGCCACAGTCCCTCCAGGCTCAGCAAGGCCCAGCAAGATAGGGCAGGCTGGTTACTGTGCCCTCTGCCCTCTGGCCCCTGAGGCCGAGCTAATTCCAGGTGGAGCAAGGTGATGACAGCTCTGAGTTACACCCCTATTCCTCTCAGCCAGTGCTTTTTCTGTGGTGTACTTCTGCCTAGTGGTCAGGGCCCAGCTAAAGGCTCACCTGTCCCCCTCAGCCTGAACTAACACCTCTGAACACATTGTGTGTTCCCTTTTGGTAGCACACGTTACAGTCTGTGTGTGGGCCCACGCCTCTTCTTAACTTGGTGATGAGCTCTTAGAAAACCAAACTAGAACCAAACCTATTACTGTTAAGTCGATTCCAACTCATGGTGACTCCATGTATTACAGAGTAGAACGACTCCATAGGGTTTTCTTAACTGTAACCTTTATGGTAGCAGATCACTAGACCTTTCTTTGGTGGTGTTACAGGGTAGGTTTGAACTGCCAACCTTTAGGTTAATAGTTGAGGAAGGACAAACTATTTGTACCACTCAGGAACTTTTCTTTGAAAACAGTGAACCTGTTTCATAATCTCACTTACAATAATAAGACATGGGATGGATCTTTCCAGTTTTCTGCTAGCTTTCACACGTAGCATCAGCCTATAAAAGGTTGAACACATGGTAAGCTCTCATGATTTGAGTTGAAGAGCCTCCAGCCTTCTCTCTGGGGGCACTTAGGATCTCACCACTTACATCTTCCATCCCCCTTTTTCCCACAGACAGGACAAGAAGTCTTGTGTGGTCCTACTAATTAAGGAGGTGGTAGGGAATTGTGGGAATCACACTGGGGAAAAGCCCTGGGCTAGTCCCTTCTTGGAAGCCTCCCCAGTGTACGAGGGCCTGCAGGAGAAGGGGGAGAGGAGAGGCGCTGTCTAGCTGCTATGGGGTGGAGGTGTGGGGTTAGCCCAAGGGATGAGGAAGGAGGGAACATGCAGCATCCTCACCCCAAGTACCCACTCAAGGTCAGTGGGTGAGGAAGGGCTTCTGAGGAGGAGAACTCAGACCC